GTAGCCAAGTGGGGAGTGCAGTGACGAGGGGAAAAAGAATTGTCACAGTGAGGGCCCAGTTAATATTAGATCAACAAATTTGCTGCAGACCCAGTAAGCAGAGTTGTGTGACTTCTATAGCTGCATCCATTAGTATATGAGTAGTTGTGGAGAAAGCAGATAGTAGGGGTAATCCAGGGTAGAGGATTGGCAGGGCATGAATGGCAGTTGGCCAAGGGGGCAAGAGATTTGAGGGTAAAAGAAAGTAAGTGCAAATAGGTCAACTAGTCAGCCACAGACTTAAGACTGAAGGTAAGAAAGTAAGGCCAGAACAGAGATAAGGAACTGAGAGAGCAGGAAGAAATAGAGGAGCTAGGGAACATGTTAAAGATGAAGGGTTAGGAACAAGGCAGAAGCACAGATATAGAAGGGCAGGATGTTAGGATCAGAGAGAAGAAATTTCAGCATCCAAAATCATGAAGGTAGCACAGTTAGAGATAGGGATGGTGGTGAGATTGAAGGTATGACCTGTGTCTGGCTGAGGCAGAGTGAAGATGTAGATTACAAGAGTTGAAGTTGATAATGTAGGTGAAACCATTGAAGGAACATTGACATCTATATATTGAAATCCCAGAACATTAGTGTGATTGTCAGGATGGAAAAGATAGTGAGTTGGGTATTGTTGAAAAAGGAGGAAGAATGACCTAGAGGCTGGGAGATGACTAGATCTGAACTGGATGATATAGATGAATAGAGTGAACCTTAAAGGAGGAGAGGCTGATGAATGATGTTTGGAAAGGAATGATCTGGAAGCAGTAATTGGGAGCAAAGTGTATGCTAATTCCTCTTCCTCCTGGCCTAGTGTGTAGGGTGCATGAGAGTACTTGAAGTATACTCAGTACTTGAGAAGATAGGTGGGGATGGTGAAGTGCTTTGCTGAAGAAATCAGATTTCATAAGTGGAAGAAGAACAAGAATGTGAAAGGAAGAGTTATAGGATGAAAAGAATGTTAATAATAGAGCAGTGTTTTCAGAAGAGACAGTGAAAGGTAAGGAATGATATAAGGGTAGGACTGATGTGAGTGGGGATGACAGGAAGTGATGGTAGAGGAAGAGGATTTTCACCTTGGACAGTGACTCAGTCACAGGGTATTTGGAAAGGAAGTAGAAACAGTGGCCCATGTGAAGGATGAAGCACCAGTTGACGTTGCTTGTCTCCTCTCAAACAACAGGTAAAAAGGGGTTGAAACAGCAAGATAGATGATTAGTAAATATTTATACTTGTCATCAGCTCCTACTTAATTCTGATCCTCGTTTGGTGTAGGTTCTTTAGTATACCTTATAGTAGAGATATAGAAAGAAGAAAGCAGCCTTGACTTATTAGCATTCAAATATTTAGTGAGGACTGATTTTAAAACCATGCGATTGGCTTTTCCATGGAGACAAAATGAAAAACTTTTCAGTTGATCTCATGTTTTTCCATCAGAAACAGTGAAAAAGCAGTAGACTTGTGCACAAGCTATTTGTCTTACTAGTAGATGAGTGATTTAGGGAATTGTGTATCTGACTTAAGCTTAAAAAAAATGACACTTAAAGAGTAGGGGATCATGGGAATCCCTGTTACTTTGGGAACAATGTAATTATTTCAGTCTGAGAAATCAAATAATTGATTAGTTATTGGAAGCTTTCTTGTCTATGTTGGGACAGTAGGACTGGCAAAAAATGAAAAGCTAAGATTAAAATGGAACAAGAATTATTGAACTACATATTCCACTTAGCATATTTTATAAAGAGCAGACTTTCTTCCTCTGCACTTCAGACTGATGTCAAGGTTAAAAGACAGCCTTTAATGACTTGAAACTAAGAACTATCTTTATGTTTTAGCTTTGTGATTTTTGTATATTTGCTTTCTTTAGTACTTTTTGCTTTACTTTTCTTAATGTCTTATGATTTGTAGTGCCTTTTATAATTCTATCCTTACAGGAGCTTAAGAGTGCTTTGAAAGTAGAAGAACTTCAGTTTCATACCTTGCATTTAGTAAGATCCTTAGGCTTTAATACCTACACTGTGGAATCCCAGCATCCTAAGGGTGGGGTGGGTGTAGTTGAAGTTGGAGAATTAGAATGGCAAAGTCACATTTTCTGGGCATTTTGTACTTCAAGAACACCTGTCTTCATATCTCTGGTAGTTCTCGCAACTACTGTATTCACTATGACTTCTGCTGCTAATAGGGATTGTTAAGTAAATTCCATTTCTCTGAGTTCTAGAAGGCTAAAATTAAATCACTTTGTTATGTGATCTATTCACTACACTTGTTCATATTGAAAATCAAATATCCTAAATTTTCCTTTTTTGCTTGTCTCCTTTAGATGCTTCTCAGCTTCATGGGAAAGGGACCAATGTGCAACAGCGGAAATTGTGACATCTGCAGAAGAAAAGCTAATCTAGAACAAGGCAGAACCTGAATGAGTAGGTCTTGAAGACTGGATATTGACTGTATTCTTTCTTTCTGCCAACTGTGTTTCTTCTAGCAGCTGGAGAAAGAGTGAGCTCTGAGTTTCTTGGCACTTCTAACATGCCTCAGAGTTAGTGGGAGCTTCGTGCTCTTTTAGAGATGCTTATGGTGCTCTGTGCTTCACAACCATGTCATTTGACAGTGATTGAAGTGGCAGATACTAAAAAGGAGAACATGCTGGACTTGGGGTATGAGAGTATGTGTGTGTAATGACTACACTAAGGTGGCAGATCATTTTTTAATCTATGTGTTAAATCTGCCAAGAGCCTCTGTATTCAATTAACCATACCTCATGATAGTCCACAAGATGGTGGTTTGTTCCAGCTATCGTAGGATCACTGCCTCTGGATTGGGACAGTTACGGTGTCCTCATTTTTAAATTGTATGCTCAACAAGAAGAAAACCTGTGCTGGAGCATGATGGGGGAAAATTTAGCTTTGTCTCTTTGTGACTATATAAAGGAGATGACCTGATATGCTCATTGTGCAAAGGGAGGTGGAGGGAAAGGATTTCCTTCCTGAACATGATAGTGAAGCTCTTTATAGAAAAGACCTCTGTAGATTGCATTGGAACAATTGTAATAGGATTTTCAAAGTTATTTTTTTGGCTCAATTTTCATTATTACCATTAAATGCATTGGATAGGATGGGACTGTTCTTCACATGTCACCTGTATAGGAAGACATAATTCCAGTGCCTTTATGGTGGAGCAAAATTAGATAATACACATCCATTTTTGCCCTCTATCTGCTCCTGAAAAGAGATTTTTTTTAAAAAAAAAATTCTGTATTTAAGACATATCCGTTTATATTTAATTGAGCTTTTCATGATTGCACATTGAAAACTGCACTGTCCTGACTTGAAGGTGATTTGGATCCTGAGAGCCTGGTTCCAAATCCAGGAAGAGCACCAGTTCTTTCAGCATTTATGTGGGTTCTAGAGCCCAGAAGCCATTCTTGATCAGAATTTTCATCTCTGTGGGTAGACGTGAGGAGTACAGAGTCACTGATATACATTCCACTTTTTTGTTCCTAGAAATCAGCAGTCATAGAACTTCAGTAAAAGGCTTCTTTAGTGTTCATGTAATGGACACAGGCTTCAAAATCCTGGAGACTCTCCAGGTAATTGATTGGACTATGCATTAACTTAAGGGTAATATGCAGTTAGGTTTGGAGAGTCAATCAAAGGCCAGATGGTTAGGCACAAGCTAGAACTGGGCATATAGCTAGAAGAACAGTTCCCAAATTGCCAACCTGTTCACACTTAATTACTATCTGTTTCACAAGAATTTTAAAAGTGCTTTCTTATTCCTGTGAAATTTGTGCTACAAGATATGTTTGAACTGGCTACTCAGACTGAATTACAAGTCAGATAAGTTCAGTGTGAACAGCATCATCTGTGGCACTGAAATGATTGTACACATTGTGTGAAAACACTAAGTTGTTTCCAGGTTTCCTTTGTTTAGACTCATTCTTATAGTTTTCAAATTACAGTGTACAAACTATCAATAACTCATACTTTGTTCTAGGAAAGGCTTGTAGGCCTTCCCAAATTTGCATCTAGGAACAACAGACCTTCTGTTAGCTGCACTGGTAGGCCTCTGCTCATACTTTTATTTGTTTGCTTTGGTCAGACCCAAGACACCTTTCAAATTCAAGCTAAGCGACTCCTTAAGATCACTTTATTGTATTTTTTTTAAATTGAAACTTGTATTTCCAGTTTGTTTACAGAATACTCCTAGGTAGTAGCAAAAGAGCCAAAGATGAGATTTGTATTGCTGAGCTCAAAACAGAGCAGTTATCAGTGGACTCTGAGCAGATGGAATTCTCCAGAATTCCCTTCCATGAGCTCTCCCAGGTACCAGTCCCACTCCCTCTCTTTGCTTTCCTGCCAGTGCTCCCTCTGTACCACATACCATTGAGTTTGTAGCTGGAGCAGAATACCCTCATTTTAGGAATCTAGTGATGCCTCTTGCCTCAGGGAAATGTTTCTTTGATGGGGATTCTGTGGGATTTCTTTTTCTTGTTTATGCTTTACTTGTGGTAATGAACGAGTGAATGAATTAAACAGAGCCATGGCAAGGCAGAGCTACAGGCTGACACTGTAGCAAAAGGATGGAAAATGGAACATCCCAGGCTGTGTGCCCTGGATGTAGGAGTTGTAGATGTTTCCTTTGGTGAGGGGAGTCTCTGAGCACTTACTGGGTATGGCAGTTTCTTTAGTGTAAAAGGGGCTGCAGCTTTTGTGCAGGGACTGTTGGTATTGGGGGTGGTGGGAAAATTGTTAATCTTGTATAAAGCAACTCAATAAATTGTTTCAAAGTTTCCAAAACATTCTTTTTCATTTTTCTGTTTTACTGAATTTCTAAGTGGGTTTTTTTTTCCTCCTGTGAATGATTCTCAAGGTATTAATCTTTTGGAATAACCATTTTTGCTGAAATCCAAGTGGAAGTGGGAGGAAAGTTTTCTCAAAAGGAAAAGGTAAAAGATGGGTATCAGAGAAACAAAATTCAAGCCACCAGATTTTTATTTCCATACTATAAATAAAATTCCCTATCATTTCCCATTTTCATACAGAATAAATGAGATATACATAACTGGATTTTCATTTGGTAAATAATCAACATGTTTTTTACCTAAATGCTATGAGGTAAAGCAAGATTCATAAGGCACTGCTGCCAATGTTTATAGTAACATCTTTTACTATTAAAATATTTTAATTTTACAGTAACAAACCACTCTCTTACATAGCATATTTTTCAAGGACATAAGATGGATAAAAATACCAGTTGAATCAAATTCTACTTAAGTTTCTTCTGTTTGCTGCTGGTTGTTTTTTTTTTTTCTTTTTGCCTTTTCTAGCAAACATCTAGTATTTCTTGTCAGCAGAATAACAACTGAAGATTTTCGACCAGAAAAGCCTTGCCAGGCTTAATTAAATCAACCTTCCACGGTTTTGGAATACTTTTATTCCAAGAAAGGAGAAGGGAGAATGTCATAGAGGGAAACCAAAAAGAATATATTGAAAGGAAGAGTGTTTAGCAATAGAGGAAAAAAGTGCATATTTACTAATTAAACCATTTCATCAAAAAGTAGGATTTCCCTGGGAATATTTCCAGGTAAGTCAGTAGGTTAAATGGTTGGGGACAAGTTTCATTCGTTCTTACCCAATTGCCCTTTCCACTTGTAGTCACATTAGCTCTGTCCTGAGCAACTGTCCAAGCAAGAGTATAACTAAAATGTTGACATGTATACATACTGGGTCTGAGGGCATGTCAGAGGCAGAGTGGTAGAAACGCAGTATCATCTTTGATGAGACAAGACCAATCACCTGCTTTTGAGGGTCAGAAGGAAGGATATCAGCTTGAAAAGACTGAAGCTTTATGTCTACTTTTGCCCAGACACTAAAACAGCTAGCTCCTGAATGGACATATCCTTGTTAACATATCGATCATACTGAGCTGGGGTTAGCCTTCCATTCTTTAAGGCATCTTCAATAGAGAACTTCTTTCCAGACTTTCTGTCATGTATAACAGAAGATTCTCCATTTGGTCCTTTGACTGATATCTCTTCCCAGTCACACTCCTGGCTTCTGAGCTTCACAAACATGTTCCAATCAATGAGACCAGCCCTGTGGGCTTCCTCTGGGGAAAGCTCTCTACCAGTATCAGGGTCAATAACCACAATGGAGCGACGTAAATGGTTCTCTCTCTGCTCCCTCTTAACTGCCACTGACCCTAGACGCTTATGCAACTCATCAATCTCATTATCTTTATCTCTGGAGATCCTCTTGAGATCATCCAGTTCTCTTTCCAGGGACCAGAGTCTAGAGTCTAAATTTGCCCCACAGTCCACTGAAGTCATGTTTCTTAAATCTTGAGTTTGTGTTGTTGTCATTTCAATTTCTGATTGCAGCCTTCTGGTCTCCATTTGTAGATTCTGCTTTTCTAAATGAAGTTTGTGGTTTTCTTCCCTTAAAAAGTCCAATTCCTTGGATGACTTGGAATTATGGAATTCCAGTTCAGATAACTTGGCCTCTAGCCGGTTCACCTCTGCATCTAGCTCCCTTTTGATATGACTCTCTTCCTCCAAACTGTTCTTCAGTTTCTGAATTTCTTGTTCTGTGTCACCTTTTTCTACTTGAACACTTTCTGAGAAGACCACTTTTTCTTTCACTTCCATCTTCTCAAGGGTAAGGAGTTTCTTTTTCAGGGCTTCAAGCTCACTCTCCAATATTTGCCGACGGTGCTTTTCTTCTTCCAGTTGGAGTTTGAGAAGAGAGTGTTCCTTTGCCTGCTGGGGGTCCTGCTGGAGAACCACTTTCTGTTTTAGGGTCACCTTTTCTTTGGTCTCCCCTTCTTCTTTCTCCAGATCAGCTAGCCGAAGCTTTAGCCGCTGGACCTCAAGCTCAGCCTCCCTTCGAGCTTGCCGTTCTCTCTCCAGCTCTTCTAGCTGATGCTCGAGCTCAGCCCTTCTCCGCTGTAATTTTCGAAGTTCTCCTCGAAGATTGTCAATCTGCCTCAGTTCATTGTCAATGCTTTCTGTGAAGGAATCTACCTCAGCTCTCATGGCAGGGTCTTGTTCATATTTTACAACTTCTTGCTCAACTACTTTTTCTTTCACCCGTGACAGTTCCACTTCCTTTTGTTTGATTTTGTCCTCTTGGGATAACCTTTCTCTGTCTAAATCTACCTGTTTTTTCTGTTCTTCTGATAATTTCAGTCTTAAGGACTCTACCTCTTCTTTGGTTTTGGGGTCTTCACGGAATTGGAGTATCTCTTGAACTACTTCTTTGGTCTGCACTTGGGGTTTGGTATCTTTCAAGGACTGGATTTCTTGCTTCAGCTGGTAGATTTCTAAATCGCATCTTTCAATCAATCTGGTTTTGTCTACAATTTCTTCTCTGAGTCGTTGAAGTTCCTTCTCGGTCTCTGGGTCAGTCTTATACTTAATTACTTCTTTTGTTACTTCTTTTACCTCTATCTGTGGGCCTCTCTTCCGAAGAGCCTCCAGTTCACTTTGGTAGCTCTTTAGCTGCTCCTCTGCACCTCGGTACTTTCTCTCCTGTTCTACAAGTTCCAAACGGAGATTGGCTACTTCGCTTTCAGCCTTGGGGTCTGGTCGGACAATCTCACGTACTTTTTCTTGCACAACTACTTTGGAATTTTCCTCTTCTAGGGCCCAGATCTTCCGGAGGAGTTCAGTCTTTTCTCTCTGACTAGAGCGAGATTTTGATGCTTCATCTTCATACTGACGTTTGAGGTCATTGACTTCTCTTTCTATTGCTGCATCTTTTTCCACTTTTAATACTTCCTTGACTGTAATTTTTCCTTCAGCCATAGCTCGTTCTTTCTCTAGTCTCTTGAGCTTGTCTTGCAGGAAACTGAGCTCTTCTTCTTGCTTTTCCCTTTGGGCACTCTCTTTTTGTTGCTGCTCCTGTAATAGCCTATATTCTGTCTCTAGTTGGGGGTCATTCTGTAGTTTCACTACTTCCTTCTCTGTGATTGTCTCCTGCTCTTTGTTCTTCTCCTCAGACAGGGCAGCAATTCGCTGCTGTAAGAGAATGACCTCAGTTTCTCGGGTTCCTTTCTGTCTTCTCAGTTCTTCTAGCTCCTCTCTTAATTTTAGGACTTCATCAGCTTGGGCTTTATCTTGCTCAATACGCAATACTTCTTTGACCACATACTCTTGACCCCCTTCCCTTGTTTCATGCTCCAGTGAGCGTAGCTTTAGCTTCATATCCTCTAGCTCATCCTGTAACTCTTTGTTTTTACGCTGCTCCTCCCCTAAGGTTTGCTGCATCCTGTGGAGGCTTTCTTCCAATTCAGGATCAGGTACCTTCTTTAATACTTCTTTTCTTATCACAGATTCCTGTGGCTTCTTATTCTTCAGGATGACAATTTCATCCTGAGTGCTTTTGACTTCATTCTCTAGCTGCTGTCTACGCTGAGTCTCTTCATCTAGTGCTTTCTTAATCCTCCAGGTTTCTTCTGTCACTGGTTCTTTGCCTTGAGTGGATTCATGTGTCACTTCTATCTCTGGCTGCTATTATTGAAAAGAAAATGCATCATTTAAAAAACCAGAATTTCATTGATAGTATTATGTAATTCCTTACCAAGTCAGAGTTGACTTGAGGCATTTAAGGGAGAATTTGTCAAATTGACTGTCTTGTGATCTATACAAGATTCCCTTGGATTATATTGGCATGTACACATGCGGTATTTCTTAGATTTGCAGTATGAAATATAAATGTTAACTTCTATTGTAACTATCATTTGTTTAAGTTGTTTTATAGAACTATTATCTGTTTTGACAGATGAGTACTAAGTATGACTATTAGTAGCTTATTTTTCTAAAATACCATCAAGTGATCAAAACGTCACAGACTGATGCTTTGGAGCAAAAAAATGTCATATAATTTTTCAACTGCCTAGGGTTAGTTTTTAAATTTTAAACTAAGCCATATGTCTGTTACCTGTCTCAGAAGATTCTGAGCAAATTCCAAATTCTGCAATCTTTGTCTGTTGATAGCATTAACTTCAGTGAATTTGGCAGCAAGAAAAGCTTCCTAGAAAACAGTTATTTTATGGAGAGAAGTTAACATAATGAAGTGATGGTCAGGTTAGGAGTAGAAAGCTCATGAACACAACCACTGAGAGGAGCTTCCACTCTTGGAGCTTCAGTTTAGTCATTCACATGGAGGGTATCATTCATCTTTCCTTTGGGAATACAAAAATGAGGCCTAAAATGTCTGTCACTATACAACACACTTATTTTAGGAGTTTTGTGAGGATTGGTCATTGTTAAATAATTTTAAGTGCACTAAGAGAGTTTGATATTTAAAGAAATTTAATAGTGAATCTTTTTGTAGATAAAACTCACCCCCCCCATCTAGATTTTGGTATTTCAGTTTTCCTGAAGGTGAGCTACACCTACAAGAAGTGTGTGTCTTTCTTACTGAAATAATAGTGTTATCACCTACAAAAGACAATACAGCACAGAGCGGGGAAGGTACTTTGGAAATTATTTAGTCCAATTTCTGCCAGTGGATAAATGTCTTCTACATTACCCTCCACAGGTTCTCTGCTTGAAGACCTCTGGTGATAGGGGACTCATTACCTATTGAGGTATCCTTTTCCATTTTGGAACAGATCCAATTGTTAGAAAATTCTACCTCATATTAAACTGAAATCTGCTTCATTATAACTTCCACCCAGTAGTCCTTGTTCTTTCCTTGGGAGGCAAGCAGAATAAATCTGTGACAAGCCTTCAAAGGATGAATGCAGGGAATATGTGATTGCTAAGTCTTTTTTTTCTCCAGGCTTATTATCCCCAGTTTGTTCAACCAATCCTCACTGACAGTATCTTGGTTCCTGCCCACTTAAACTTTACTTTGTCAATGTCCCCTTTAAAGTGAGTCATGGAATTGAACAGAGCACTTCAGATGTGATCTAAATAGTACAAAATACAGTTGAATGATCATCTTCCTTATTCTTACTATTTATTGTGGTGGTTGCTCTGTGACCAAAGTTAGGATATTGCTTTGACTCTGTGTGAATATCATATCTGAGTTCTGCCTGATAAGTTTTACCTCTTCCTTTACTTTGGCTGCAGGTGATTGGCGTCTAGCCCTCTTGTTTGTGTGGACGTTCCTTCCATTTTCCAGGTCAAGAAGGGATCTTAGTTTTTCGGCTTCTAATTCATAATCCTAGGTAAATTAACAGAGATGCTAGTGAGCCAACAAGAGCGGTGAAGTTCCCAATTCCAGTGTGCCACATATACCCATCCAAAGACTCCCCTGAAACAGTCGTTTTCATACTTTCTTAGTGAAGCTATCAGGAGGTTTATGAGTCTCACCTTCACAGCTTGCTGGTACTGCTGGGCATGGTCGTACACTTTCTGCACCTCTTGTTCCCGTCCTCCAATTTCATCTAGGAGATTCTGCGAAATAACAGAAACGTCCACAAAAATCTCATCCCACGACAAACAGCTGCTGAAAGAGCTTGGTATGTCAGATCTATAATTACCACTTTGAACAAGGAGACATATTAAAAAAATCTTGTACATTTACCCTCAAACAACTTTAAGGTCCCGAGTTAGAAGCCCAAAAGGAAAATGGGAGGGGTGAAACTACAATGGATTCAACCAAACCCTAAGAGCAAAATTTCCCCCACTGAGCATTCATTGTTATTACTAGAGTCCAGATGGCTGTGCTTTTTTTTTTTTTTTTTTTGGAGGGCTTTTCTCCCAGGGAGGACACAAGCAATTTACAACAGAGGCAGGTCTTTTCACTTCCTTGATAGAAAGAATTGTGGAGGGTGCAGTTCCCATCCACTGATGCCTACTCTTATAGGCATATATACTTAGCAGAGATTTCAAGTTAGCTAATTCCAATCCCAAGGTATAGGAAAAAAGCCAGTGGTCATTATTTGTAATCTCAGAGTAGGAAAGGATTTTTTAGGTCATCTAGGCCAACCTGAAAAAGAATCCTACATCATCTCTTACCAGTGGTCTGTAACCACTGGAAAACTTCTGGTGATGGGTATATGTGCTGCCAAAGTGAGCACAACTTCTGGTGATGGGGTGCCAGCTACTTCTTAAAGTGACGCCATTTCATTTTGAGCTGGCTCTGATCAATAATAGTAAATTTTTCTTTATCCAATTGACATTTGCCTTTCTGTAACTTATACCCAGTGCTCTTAATTCTACCCTCTGAGACCACACAGAACAAGTCTAATCACTTCTGGCTCAAGATTGCTTCCTGAAGAGAGGCAGCCTACTCAGCTCTCACATTACCGTTCCAGCAAAAACCTGAAATTCAAACCACAGTGATTAAGAAATATGAGAACTAAAGTAAGGGACTTCTTTCATTCCAGAACTACGAAAAAATCAGCCTTTGAGAAGTCAGTGAGCAACAGGAAAGGTCAGGCCACCAGCAAAGTCAGAACTAGTATCAGCAAACTAGCTTTCAGGGCTGTGTGTAGAGGCAGCAAGGGTAGAGGACTCCCTGGAGAAAGCCAAAGAATGGTCAGAAATTCACTGAGGAAACTTTGGAAGTTACCAAGAACAGCAGTGAGCAGTTCTGAAGATGATTCAGTACTTTGAACCTCGAAGATAAGGGTGAAGCGGTGGGAGAGGCAGTGCCAGAATACAAGGTAAGACTGCCCAAGGCCCATTGTCCTACCCAAAAGTGCAGCAGAAGGTGGAGCCTGGTCCTGGCACAAAGCCCCAATTCAGGACAGATGATTCAACCAGAGAAGAAACCAACCAAATCAAGTCTAATCCCTCTTCCAAATGACTGCCTTTGAAATACTTGAAGATGGTTATTTCCTCCTCTAAATTTTCTCTTCTTCACACGAAACATCCCAATTCTTTCAGTTATTCCTTCTATGGTATTTGTATTCTTACCATCCCACTTGACTTCAGGATACCTGTTGTGCTTTTCTTCCTCAACTCGACCTCAAAATCCTGAGCTTTCTTCAAAGCACAGCTCAGGTGCCATCTCCCACAAAAGGCCTTTCCTGATCTCCCCGGTTATTCATACTCTCCTTTACCCTGAAGTCCCTTTGTATTTATACTGTATAGCCTATATAGACACACACCTGTGTACCTTGTTTTTTCCCAAGTAATCTCCTTGAAAGTGGAGGCTCTTTTGTCTGTGTATGTAGCACAGTGTCCAACACAGTAGGTGCTTAATAAATGCACGTGGAATTGAATTCTACTTCACTCTATTAATGTCCCTCCAAAATATGGCATCCAAAACTGAACACTATGCTTTAGATGTCATACCAAGGCAAAGTATGACAGAATTATTACTTCTCTCTTTCTAGATACAATGACTCAACCTAAGACCACATCAGTTTTTTTTGGGCTGGCATACTACATTGTTAACTCACGTTGAGCTTGTATTCCACCAGATACCGCAGATCTTCTTCACATGAACTGTTGCCCAGCCATGTCTCTTATTTTGGTACTTAAAAAGTTGATGTCAGTATAAAACTTTATCTTTATTCCTATTCAGTGTAATCTTAAATTCAGTCTATTCTATTCTTTTTGATCCTGATCTGTTGTCCAGTGTTTTTGTTATCTTGTCCTCAGCTTTGTTATTTTCAGATTTGATAAGCATGCGGCCTGTGCCTTCATCTAAGTCATAGATTAAAAAAAAAAAACAACAGGATCCAGAACAGATTTCTGGGGAAGGTAGCCAGACTCCTTCCATGTTGACACCAATCATTAGTCCCTACTCTGAGTACAGTCATTCAGCCATTTTGAAATCTACTTTTTCTCCATCTATACCTACCCTTTCCCTGGCAGTAATCACCCATATTTTCCTTGATTTCTGCTATTTGGTATGATCTCTATAAGGAGAGGAAAGAGCCTTCTCACCTTTTGATTCTTCAGCTTTGTTTCAATCTGACTTAAGCTGTCAGTCTCTTGGGGTTCGTAATTGGGAATATTGGACAGAAACTGGGTCACATGATCATAGCCGCTGCGGTAGTCGGCATATGCACTTTTAGCTTTCTGCAGACTCTGGGACCTATAGTGAGGGAAAGCCATAGTTGGTTTTTTGTTTTTAATACTTTAATAGTTTCTGCAGGAATTTGTCTCATGCCTTAAAGTATGAAGACAAGAGACCTGCTAGTGTGTGGTTTCACTTCTCAACTTGAGGTAAAGGAGCCAAAAAGCCCTTCCTTTTCTCTTGTTGTCTTACCTGTTGTTGATCTGCTTAATGAGGTTGTCAAACCGTTGATTGAGCTTGTTGACTTCTGCTTCCTGCCGTTCGATGTCTGCGCAGTGCTCCTGGAACCGGCTGGCCAGAGTACTAGAACACTTCTTGGTCCTTTGCAGGTTCTGATCAGCCTCACTGAGGAGAGATCTGTTGGCTTGCAGTTCGGAGGCAATAGCCTGAAAAGGAAGGAAGGAACAGAAAAAGAAATAATGACACTCCCTTACTGGGAGTAACCAGAATTTTTGTGAGTCCTATCCAAATAATTTAAGCCACCTCTAGCACTTGGGAACCCTTGATTGGAATGGAATTCAATTTTTTTTTTTTTGGCAATTGGGGTTAAGTGACTTGCCCAGGGTCACACAGCTAGTAAGTGTCGAATGTTTGGTCTGAGGCCAGATTTGAACTCAGGTCCTCCTGACTTCAGGGCCAGTGCTCTATCCACTGTGCCACCTAGCTGCTCCTCAGGAATTCAATTCTTTTTTTTTTTTTTGGATGACACAATTGGGGTTAAGTGACTTGCCCAGGGTCACACAGCCAGTAAGTGTCAAGTGTCTGAGGAATTCAATTCTTAAAAGAGAAGATTTCTGTTTAAACCCAGTTTACTCAATCTAGTCTCAAAGGTTGTAAAGATTTTGGAAGGGAACTTGGAGATAGATCATCATTTAGTTCAACCCCATCTCATTTTATAACTGAAGAAACTGAGGCTGAGAGAGATTAGGTAACATGGTCAAGGTTATTGTGATACATCTGAGATTCAAATCTAGGTCCTTGGACTCTAAATCCAGTGTTCTTTTTACCACACCACCCTGCAAGGGTACCTACTCTGAGCCCTTTCAGCCCACATAACACAGAAGATCACTTACTGCTAGCTCCTGCCTCTTGTTATCCAGTGACTGTCCATTCTCAGGGACTGTATCATCTAAGGATAACTGGTTCTCATACTTGGCCAGCAGCTCTCTACCTTGCTGAAGGCTGTTTTCAAGGCGGTTGGCTCCATCTACCCTATAACACAAAGATATGAGTACAGATGTGGTAGAAGTTTTTTCCTCCCCATGACAAGATGTTTCCCCAAATATAGTTAGGTTCCATGCTTTCCTATCACATACTTTTCCTGAGCCGAATTGAGTAATTGAACAAGACGGTCGTATTTGCGGTTGGTATCTTCTACTCGGGTCCTCAGCAACAGAGTGCTGCCACTGTCAGGAAGTGCTCCAATGAAGGCATCACACTCATCAGTGCTCCGTGTCTTCTCTGGTTCAATTCGACGAAGTTCATTGGTGATATTCTGCAACAACCAAGGAATCCTCAGGATCCTGTGCTAAACCAGCCATTATCTAGGTACTCTAATCTGAGGATTCAGGCTCCCAGGATAGGATGGGGCCAGGTTGGAAAAGTGTAAGAGAGCAGCTGTATTGCCTGGTGGAGTTTGGCTGACCAACCTTCTGATCTCAAGTGGTAGTTGGGAATATCTTGAGAGGCACACAGATTCTCTACCCCTAGCTCTATTTGTCAGGACTAGATCCTCTGAAAGAGTAAAACCAAAGGTCTGAAATTTAACTCTGTTTCTAGTTCTAGCTGGTATGTGACTTGTTCTAAAAATGTATGCTTAAGGTTCATGTGAACATAAATTGTGGTGTCCTAGGAGTCACTGGAAATGTGAACTTCCCTCACTGACACATAGTGGGGGAGCTTTTTGCCCTATACTGTGATACAGAGGCTCTAAAGGGTTTGAGTAAGGTTGTTTCACTTGTTCTGTAAAGGAGCTGGGGCTCTAGTTCTGCCATTTACCCCCTTAGCTTTTTCCTTTGCCCGGTTCAGTACCTTGAGGTCCTTGGCCCGTTCAGCACTGTCCTGCACTGCCCGGCTCTGTTCAAGGGGAGGCCTTAGGATGGCAGTGATTGCTTTTTCCTGCCTTTCTAGGTCACTGTTCACCTTGTCCAGGCTGGCAAGCAGTTGCCGTCCCTGGAGATCAGATGCGTCTAGACAGAAAAGAAAGTTAAAGACAAAGGAGGAAGAGACTAAGCCGTAGGGGGAATGTGGACAGATCATCCAAGGAGAAGGAAGGGACCCTGCCTAAGGCAAGGGGAAAGTCATGCTGCAATTTTTTCAACAGTGATACCCTAACTTCATCTGGAAAAATATCAGGCTAGTGTGATGGGATCTACACATATTTTATTCTGTTTTATTTTTTTATTTTTTTATTTTTTAGGCAATTGGGGTTAAGTGACTTGCCCAGGTTCACAGCTAGTAAGTGTCAAGTGTTTGGTCTGAGGCCAGATTTGAACTCGGGTCCTCCTGACTTCAGGGCCAGTGCTCTACCCACTGACCCACCTAGCTACCCCTCAATTTTATTCTCTTTGAATAAGAGAGGGTTCTATAGTAAGCAACAGAGATTGCCTTCCCCCACTCTTAGCTGACACTGTAACTATAGAGCTGACCCTTTGGGAGAAGGCTTCTAGTACCTTTAGTCTATAACCCTCCTCTCCACTCCTCAGTTCCATCCTTTGTGTTGTGGCCACTTGTGCTGGAGACCTAGAGTGTTTCCTCAGAGATAAGCGAATCATATCCCATTTAGGTAGAGATTTCTTTCTCATCCCTGCTCCTAACTGCCTCATTTTACATATCCTTATGGGCTTATAGCTTTCAAATGAGAAAGAACCTTTTATCTGGCAGCTTAGGACTTCAAGTAGGGCTCCTAGCTCTCTACTCACACCTCAGAACATACATGCTATAACCAGAAAGGTCAGTTCTTGGAGTTCAACTTACTGCTGCTTTTGGGTTAGTTATAGTTTCTCTGTATGTTAGTTTCCCCAGCTAGGACAAGAAAATGCTGACCCTCCTCAAAGGAGTCTGAAAAAGAAAACTTGAGAAATGTATTGAGCTTAGAAGAGCCAGGGCTCTAGGCTTGGAAGAGGGAGGGAAGAAATAAAGCTTTTGTACCTACCTCCAGGGTTCTCTGTCTTGAGAATCTCATACCGCTGCTTTAGAGCAGCCTTACTCCCAGCTGCTTTCTGCTTCACACTGCGGTATTGATTGCTTAGGCTGAAAACAAAACAAATCCCTCTGAAGTATGTTGTGTGCCTGAGCCATTCTTCCCCAAGTGTGAACACTCTAGGTATAATGCCCAAGTATATACCCCTATACGTAGACTCTGACAACTCCATAATGCTGACCAGGCTTATGGAATCTGTCTTTTTTCATCTCCTGAGGCCTCACGAAGGTATCAGCACCAGCCCATACAATATGATGCTGGGGGTGGCAGTGATGCTATCAATATTCCCCTGAAACCAGGGGTGGGCTAAAAACCTCAAATCCAGTCATGTTTTTGGATGAAATAGACCCACCAAGAGCCCAGAGGAAACTCCCAGGGAAAGATGGTAGATGGGCAATATCTTAGATACCCATTGGCATTTGCTTACAAATCTCAACCATCTTTCTAGAATAAGAAGGAGACTTTCTGTAGCATACCTGTCAATGAGTGCAAGGGCCTCAGGATCAGTAGGAGGAATCATGAAACAGACAGCAGGGGCACTGAGTGTGTTCCCAGAGCTATCTGTAATATCCCAGCTCTCCCCATTGTTCTTCTGTAGAGTGTAGCTATGTCCACGAGAAATCAGGCCCTAATGGGGACAGGTCACAAGAATTAGAGAAGAGAAGACATTTCATCCAACTGTCTCTGGCAGAAAAGCCCTAAGTAGTGTCATCTTTTTGTCTGTCTAGGAATTGCTCCTTCTCTATTTGCTTCACAGACAGGGTAAGGGCATTTCAGCTGCTACTAATCCCAAAGCTGCAAAATGAGCATAGAAGGGACGCTGTCCTAGGATCTCAGGACAGTCTATCTTCCTTCAAACATGGTAATTTTGCAGTAGCGGTCTAGTTCCTTACAGAAATGAGCTCAGTGCTACTCTCACTCTCTCCAACCTCCAGAATGTAGATTTTCATCATCTTATATAAAAATATTCCAGTTAATGTCAAGCTGAGGAATCCCCAGGTGAGGGGCAGGCTGGTTTACCTGTTCACTTTCAAAATCACAGAGTGCTTCCACAGGGATAGGTTTGAGAGGTGTTTCACGGCGGTACTTGAGGGGTACCAGTTGCTGGCCACGTTTCTGTAGAGACCGTATCACATCATCGTACTTGTCCAGAGCTTTTTCCTGATCCTGAACAGGAAGACATGAGACTGAAGCTAAACAATGCTCCTTGGAAATGGGTAGGATGTGTCTGATATCATTGGGCAGAGAATATTCTCAGGGCCACACTGTCAAAGGGCAATTGGATATGTCAGGGGTAGACTAGAATCTAAAAGTGATGTGAAGAGGGGTAGTTTCCAAGTCCTGGATTGGAAGATTAGGAGAGGGGAGATGTCCTTAAGCCAGCTATGGGGTGGTTGGCTCAAACACTCACATCCAGTTCCTGTAGTAAAGATTCAATTTGGTATCTGTCCTTGAATTCAGGACTGTATTTCTGGTTTAGGTCTGTGTCTACCTTCCTCAGCAATTCCTGGGCATCTTTGACGTCTTTGTGAAACTGTGGAGGACAAAGTGTAACAAATCCATCACAAGTAGGAAACCTAGTGACTTCTGAGGGCTATGTAAAAAACTGAGAAGGAAATTTGGGGGAGAAGCTAAGCATCCCTCCTTAGTCTAAAACATTGATGTGGATAGGTGGTCAGATGCACAGGGGGCTACCACTCCCTACTGCTTCCATTTTGTTGGTTTGTCTTACCTTCCTTATGTTGAGACCCTTATAGTCTGAGCAAGAAATGCTGGGGTCACCCTTTATGCATAAATCACAGATGCAAGAGAGCACTCAATGGCTTTAGGACTATTTGAAGAGATCCCTTCTATTTGAGATCCCTCCTCCCAACCCCCAATCTTGGCTCATTAAAGGCCCTGCTTCTAGCAACACAAAGTTTTTGTTAACCACTTGAGTGGTTGATTCGAAAGTTATGCTGTTCAGAAGTCATCAGTGCAGTGGATCACACCAGCAGACTAATACCCCACAACTTTCCTGTCAGCCCAGTCTTGCCACGTAGCTGGATTCTTCATATATTTTGCTGGCCCTTCTTCCTTTTCCTGTCCCCTAAATGTGGACATAACCTAAGACTCAATCATTTGCTCTTTTCTCTTGATACTTTTGCTCCTGGAGATCTCATTCATTCTCTTTAATTATCACCTCTACATAGATTATCAAATACACATCTCTAGCCCATGACCTCTTATCTTTGTTTTAGTCCCACCTTTCCAAATTTCTGCTTAATATTCCTCAACATGTCTAAAACTGAACTTGCCATCTTTCCTTCCTAAGTTGCTTCCCGATGTCCCTCGTTTTTGTCAATTTGTTGTGCCATCATTTCCCAGTCACTGAAACTTGGAATCCTCTTTGAATTCTGTTTTTTTTGTCTCCCATATCCATTTGATCACTAATCCTTGTTGATACTTTCATAATGTTTTGCATCTGTTCTCTTCTTTCTATTCCTATCAATCCTCCCTCCCCTGTCCTGACTCTCACCATCTCCCAGTTCTTATCACTTCATTCCTGAAGAATTTATTTTCCAATGGGCTCCTGGTCTTCCTATAAACTGCCATCAGATGAATCTAATACACACATACTATTTTCATATAATTTTCCTGCTTGAATACCTTCACTTGGCTTTAATAATATCAGGCTTACAGTATAGTGCTTTAAGGTTTGTAAACTATCTCATTTAATTCATACAACAATCCTGAGAGGTAGGAAGTACTATAATCTATATTTAACAGATAACAAAACTGGGGCACATAAAGGTTAATTTGCCCAAGGTCATATGACCAATATGTGACAGGGTCAAGACATAAATGAGCTAAAACTAGGGCTTGGTTTCAGGGCATCAAAATTGATAAGTTAAAATTTACACCAGGTGAACCCTGCTGGCCTTCGAAGTAGTGGCATAATGTTGTCCTGGAGTCCTTCTTGGGATCCAGTGTTTAGTGGTCTCTGTCTCCTCCCCACAAAGTGGCATCTCAGGCTATATTCTTGCCTACCTATTTTACCCATCATGGGCTGGTATCCTGGGGTCTAACTCCCAGGACAATTGATTTGAGGGGATATTTAGTGCTAGTTGCCCTGAGAACTTTTCTGCTGTTTATTTGCCAGAATTGCTAGTTATGGCTTTGACTCAATTCTGGTCAAAGCTGGTCTACAATTCATCCTGTATATTCTTACCCTTATACCTTTGTTCACAGCATTTATTTTGCCTCAAATGCCTGCTCTTCTTTTCTTTATTTATCTGAATCCTACAGACCTTAGAAGGCAGTATAAGTCCTAAGTCCTCTGTGAAACCTTTTCTGACCACTCTAGCCCATAGTAATCAGTCTTCTTCTAAATTCCTTCAGTATTTATATAGCACATATGCATTGCTTTATATTATAAATATCTTTTTACATACATACATTGTTTCTCCCAACTGAAAGTAAATTCCTCAGAGTAAAGGACTAAGTCTTACATATCTTTGAATCATAGTTGGCACTTCCCATAGTTCCTTAAACATAGAAGTACCTAATAAAATATATATTGATCAATTTTGGACTCCCACCTCTTCTAATTCTCTCTTCCCAGAACTCCTGGTTCTCATAAGAAGAAGGAATTGGGAAAATTCTGGAGGTCTTTGGATTCTGGCTTTAGGTTTTCCTGTTTATATTTGTTCCTCTTGAAAACACACAAAAAAGGGATTTCTGGCAAAATGGTTGAATAAGAGGTTGAATATAAGCCCCATTTACCCTTACCATCTCAAAATAGCTAGAAATGCATCAAATAGACAACACCAACAAGAAAATATAAAAAGGGAGGACTCTTTGGAAACTGCTATATCAGCTATCTTAGGAACAAATGAAATTTTTAGGAGTCAGTTCCCACAGCACCTGGTGATAATCCTCCATGTATTTCAAATGACTCTCCTCACAGATGAGCAGGTTCAGATATTCCTTCCAGTCAGCATGGACTGCCTCCATGTGAGCCTAGGAGATGAGGGAAGACACAGTATAAATATTCAGGTTGCAGTAGAATCACAACTGGCAGGCATGTGTGGGTAGAGTTCCTGAACCCAGAGAGGTAGGCTGGGAGTCCTGTTCAGGATTGGAAACTGCCAATCAGAAGAGTGTTTACATAGAACCTCCATTAATCATACTGTGTCATATAGAAATCTGACCCTCCCAAGAGAAAGCAATGATGAGAAGAAATGAAGGGAAAGAGGGAGGTCACTTTAAGGTTGCCTGTAATATAGGATGTCTAATAGATGGAGTGAGTGAGAAGAATTGAGGCTTCCGCACAGAGCCAAAGTATCGAGAATGCATTTTTGAGTGTGCACATGTGGGCACAGTGTGGTGTGGTTGGGAGAAGCAGATACATACACTCATTGAAGAGAGTGAAAAACATCATTTGAATTGCTGAGTTGTTTGGGAACTTAGGAGTGACGGACTCCTGGTTCTCATAGGAGGATGAAGTGAAGAAACTATTCTTGAGATCTTTGAATTGGGCAGTACCTCAATCGAATTCCTCCCTGGGTGTTCAGCAGCCAGCAGCTGATCGCCTTCACTGTGTAGCTTGTTAATTCTCTCCTCTTTGGCCTCCAGGTTCCGGTTGATGAAATTCTAGGAAGTGCAATAGTATATTTCTTTGAAGCCCCTCTGTATTTTTACTGTTATTATACTTGTCTTTACAGATTCTTTGTCACCCACTCAAGCTCTCTGAGTCCATTCATATATCTGAAGATTCTGCATGGTCTTAAATTGGGCCTTTTCTAAGAATGTGTGACCAAGACCTTGAGACTTGTGCTTATATAATATATATATGTATGATTGTGTGTGTGTGTGTGTGTGTAAGGAAGAAATGTTCTCATAGTTCTTAGTGTAGAGCTGGAAGGAACTTCGGAAGCCACCATGCTCAACATCCTGATTTTACAGATGAGGACACTGAGGCTCAGAGAGTGACTTGCCCAAGGTCACATAGGTAGTAAATGCCAGAGGTTGGATTTGAACTTGGGACTTCAAATTCATTGCTGTAATCCTTTTATCCCTTTGCTTCTTCTTCTTTTTTTTTTTTAGTTTTTAGGCAATTGGGATTAAGTGACTTGCCCAGGGTCACACAGCTAGTGAGGTCTGAGGCCGGATTTGAACTTGGGTCCTCCTGACTTCAGGGCCGGTGCTCTATCCACTGCGCCACCTAGCTGCCCCTCCCTTTGCTTCTGTGGTTGGGATGAGGGCCTCAGCTGCCTCTTAGACACTAGGGCTTCCTAGTAATTGACAGGCGCTATGACTTTGTATTGGGAGGTATACAGAGATCTTAAAAGTACTGTAGGGACCAAAGCTCAGTTAATCACTTGTTCTGGACGCATCAGAAGTTCTTGGCCAAGGGCAAAAGACTGAGTAAGTACCTCATATTGGCGTCGGCGGCTAGGGTAGTCTAGGTTTCGGTCGCTCCAGTCATATTGCATCCGACCTTTGGCCTGCTGGTCCAACCAGTACAGTTCATTGGTGCAGCGCTGCATGTAGTCCTGAAGTGAGCTCAGGTGCTGCTGCCTTGCCTGGGATCCTGCCTGTTCATGACGAAAGAAACAGGTGTGGGTCATGGCCTACCACCCTACCTTTTTCTGCCATGCTAGAATCCTCGGGCAGCTTCCTTATCATTGACACAGAGTAGTAGGAGACTGTGGTTTCCCAAATTGTGCCCCCCAGTAGGAATTCTCTTCTATTCTGGCTTGAGTATCAGGGATAGCTCTACTCTCTTACTGCTCCATGGCCCCATCCCTCATGCTTTGTCACCTCCTTCTCATTTCTTGTTAACTCTTTACCAACAAAAAAGAGTTTCTCACCAGTAGTTTCTGATACTTGGCCTGGAGGTCATTGTTCTGTTCCTATGAGTAAAAAGACATAGATTAGAACAGAGAAACCCACACTCCCTTCTCCTACCCTCTCCATATCCTTGAGCGTTTTCTTTTCATGGTTTCTGCTGTACCTTATCTCCTTCCTTGGCAATATGGGGTCCAATAGCTTTGACCTCATTGTGAAAGATATTGTGTTCCTCTACTTGGTGGTCAACTAATGGCAGGTCTGTCCCAAAGTTCTGATTGCCAAGCATGTCCTGAAATACAGGGAAGGCAAGAAGTTGCAAGAAAGAGAGAGAAGGTTAGGACATAGTGAAGGTCTGTTCCTAAAGCATAAGCAGCATTACTTAAACTGCCTTGTACCCATTCATCCACCCTTAACCAGACCTTACAATGAAATCTTTCCTGGCTCAATAAGGTATTCCTAACTAACCCAGAGTTTTAAAGGGAGGTTCTGTTGAATTCCCATTGCCCATGAATTATAGACATCTCTCATACATCAGGCTAGGGCTCCTACACTTGAGCAATGAAAATAACATATATTAATATAGCATTTCATATATATCATCTCATTTAGTCTTTGCCATGACCTGTAAAATAGGGAGTACAACTATTATCCCCATTTTATAGATGAGAAATTTGAGGTATAGTGAAGTTGGGTGACCTTTCCCCGAGGTCAAACAGCTACTAGATGACAGAACTGGGACTCTTCTGATTCCAGATTCAGGAATTTTTCCACTGTCCCATGCTGCCCCTTAAAGGAAAGAGATAGAGTCTAGGAGGCAACCTCTCAACATAATAAAGAGGTGTCTCACTGACCAAATCCTGGGACTGTTTGCAGAAAGCATTGGGCAAGTTCTAACTCTCATGTAATAGTCCATTTTTCTGTCACCTAGCACCTCACTGATGAACAGGCATTTAAAGGAGTGCCTTGAGGGCCTTGTCACTTCCAGGGTCAGCCTTGTGCAGGAAGGGTCATACCAGTTTCTCATCAACCACAGATGACCAGTTGACCTTTGGATCCACCTCTTTAACAGTCAAAGTGTAAATCTGATTGTGCTTCGTGCGTAGGTTTGCTACTCGTTCCTTCAATTGCCGGATACTGAGGAGAAAGAAAATCCAAACTCTTCAGTGGGGGGGTCTGTAAAGTGCTGATTTCAACTTGTATCTCCAAAGTCAGCACGAAATAGTGGATAAAGAGCTAGCCTGAAAGTCAACAAGACCCAAGTTCAGATCCTGCCTCTGACATGGAGAATTCTTAATTTACTTATTTTTAGTTTTCCACATTCACTTCCACAAGATTTTGAGTTCCAAATTTTCTCCCCATCTCTCCACTCCCCTCACTCCAAGACGGCATGCATTCTGAATATCCCTTCCCCCAATCTAAGGCAAGCAATTCAATATAGGTTATACATGTGTAGTCATGCAAAACACTTCCATAGTAGTTATGTTGTGAAAGACTATATTTCCCTCCATTCTACCCCGCCCCCATTTATTCTATTCTCTCCTTTGACCCTGTCCCTCCTCAAGAGTGTTTGTGTCTGATTACCCTCTCCCCCAATCTACCCTCCCTTCTATCACCACCACACCCCCCCCATTCACTTCCCCACTATTTTCCCATAGGGTAAGATAGATTCCATACTGAATTGAGTGACACTGAGAATTCTTTAAGATTACAAATAGAAGAGAAGGCATACCAGTGAAATTATAGGTCTGGGCCCTGTCCCTACTTCCAAAGTGATAGCCTTACCACTCTCTTGGACCTCTTGTTCAAGATTTGGCCTCCCCACACTAGATTTTTCAAGTGTTCTCTGATTCCCTCCAGATCTTACCTTCAGAATAATCCCAAATTCTGAGAAAATTTTTTACTTCTACACCTGATCTCAAATCCAAGAGCAAGGAGGCTAGAGCCACTACTCCGTTATTCTAAGTTGTTGGAAAGCACTAAAGGAAAGTTCTGAGAGAGGTTACTGTTGTTGAAGTGTAGTGAATATCCTGGGGTGAGCGGGCAACAATGATTCTTATAAAACTAACTTAAATTACTGATGGGAACTTTGTAAACCAAGACAAAGTAGTTCTTCTCTCCTTGGCTCTAAATGAGGTTGTTTACCATGGATGATCTCAACAAAGAAGACTGAATACCTGACTTGGTGAACAGGCCACACTCCAACAAAGTCAGAGGCATAGTCTTTGAGAGATTGGAGTTTAACATGTACCATTTTGTCCTTTATTTCCTACTTCCCCTTGCCTTCCTACCTCCTTTGCCTTATTTCCCCTACTCTCTCTTCCTGAACAGTTTTCCAGTGATCCAGCTTTAGGAGAACATGGCTTTGCTCACCCCTGCCAGTGAACTACCAGGAACAAGGTTCAGACGGCGTGTGATGGCCTTAGGTGAATGCAGCGTTGGCAGTACACAGCATAATCCCACAAAGCAATACTATAATCCCACAAAGTAGAGCTGGCCTCCCGCATCCCCCATGCCTCTGGGCAGAAAGCCCAGCATCTGCATCTGATACTAATAGGATTTAAACAAAAAAAACAAACTAGACCTACTCTTCTGCAATCATATCTCCCTGGGGGTGTTTCATGTGCTTAGCAATAGCTGCATCTCCCTCCAAAACGTAGAGGAGTTTTTCAGATTCAGAAATCTTCTGGAGTGAGTGTTCTTGGTATTGAGCAGGCTGGCCCTCCTTGATCTTTGCCAGGTCCTGTGAGCAAAGAAAAAAAAAAATCAGGCTGGAGCAGGGAGAGCTGTGTGAATAATAATACTGTACACGAAAAACAGTGCATGGAGTCAAGAAGGGAAATAAATTTCTTCCAAAGAATACCCTCTCAAACTCAGCACAGGTCAATCAGCAGGTGTGTGTATGTGTGTGTGTGTGTGTGTGTGTGTGTGTGTGTCTAACTTCAGTATTAACCTGACAGTCATAGAATGTTAGAACTGAAAGAGTGGAAGGGATGTTAGAAATCACCATGTCCAACATCTTTATTTCATGAGAAAGGGCTATTCTGGGTGGCTGAAGTCCTGGCAGAGATAATTTCTTTCTATTTAATTGTGTATTAAAAAAATGTATTAGCAAGTGTTGGTGATAGTTTATATTTACATTAGATCAGTGATTCTCAAGGCATGGTCCAGGGACCTTGGAGGTCCCTGAAATCTTTTTAGTGGGGGTTGAGAGGTCAAAACTATTTTCATAATAGTGATAAGATGTTTTAACTTCAAATACTGTATAAATATATATGTATATATACACACATACATATATACATATATATCATATAAAAGTTCTTTGTGGGGATCCTCAATTCATATATATATATATATGCATATATACACATATATACATACACACACACACACACACACACACACATATATATATACACATATATATGTGTAAAAGAGGCCCTGAGACAAAAAAATTAGAGAACTACTAAAACAAAGGAACTGAGGCACAGAGATGTTAAGTGACTTGTCTACAGTAACACAACTAGTCTGATTCTGTGGCAAGACCCCAAATCCAGTACTCTTATTTCCTATTCACTGTGCTGTCTAGTGGCCTCCACTAAGTAACTTTGAATGATGTTGGTTAAGAATTTATCTAATGCAGTGAAGGCAGTTCTTTTGTCTCTTCTCAGCAGTGCCTACTACAGTGATGGCACAAAGCAGGTGTTCAGTGTATGCTTGTTAACTAACTCATTGCTGAGCCCTCACGACTTCAATACAAACATTTCCTTTTAGGTATAAAGTCAATTTTTAGTTTCATTTGGTGCAAATTAGCTTCTGCGTATTACCGATGATCACTTATATACAAAGAGTAGCTTTACAAAAGGTATACAAACATTAAAAAGTAGCCTAAAGTAGCACAGAAGAATCATCAAATAAGAAAATAGCCAATCAAGGAGAGAGAGTGAGAGAGGGAGGGAGAAAGAATGAACAGATGAAGAGCCCAAGTCTTATGCCAGGGACCATGAAATAATGAAAGAACCAAAGGAAATATGTTAGGAATGTCTTCTGTGGAAGATTTATAGAAATTCATGGAAAAGGATCTTACAGGGACAAGAAGGTATAAATGGATTGAGGTCTGTATCTGTGAAGGAAGTGTCCAACCAAACTAATGGGATCATAGCCATCAAAGTATAAAGCCAATTTTAGCATCTCAAACCATCCAAGATCCATTAGAACTTGGTAGGCCCTTAGTCTTGATGAGACCTCTAACATTGTTCTTTGTACTCTACACTCACAACGGTCACCACTTAACAGCCCTGCTTGGGGTTGGAAACATCATTATTATCCCTTCAGGAGGCCAGCCTTATATCAAGGAGAAGAGTATACTGCCCTTTGTCCATCTCCCTACCCTGAAGAAACTGTGAAGTGTGGGAAGGAAAGGTGAGAGATGAAACATGAAGAATGAGATATAAAACTTTATTTTAACTGAAATTAAAGGACAAGGTAGGATGTAAAAAAGGTAAGCAGTGGAAGGTGTGAGGTAAGATAGAGGAAGGAGAAGGGAAAATGTGGAGTATATACCTAGAGCTAGGTGTATTTCTAGCCCTATATCAAGGAATATATGTGTGTATGTATATATATATCTATATATATCTATATACATATATATAGTATCCTGTCTGTACATGTGTATATATGTGTATGTGTGTATATTGTATACCATATATGTATAATATATCCTTTGCATGCAACATATATGCATATATGGGAATATGTATGTAAACACATACACATACATATATATGTGTGTGTATATATATATGTGTGTGTGTGTGTGTGTGTATATATATCTATATATATGTATGTATATATATATATATATATATATATATATGTTGGGTTCATCTGAACAGATGATAATTGAACCCACGGGAGTTGATGTGATTAATAAGGAGAGAGTGTAGAGAGACAGAGAAAAAGGCCAAGGACAGAGCCCTGAGGAACATTCATGCTAAAGGAGCAGAAGATTGGTGATGATCCATCAAAGGAGACTCACAAAGAGTGGTTAGACAGGTAGGAGAAAAATCAGGAGGCAGCAGTATCACAGAAGCCAAGGGAAGAAGGAATATCCAAGAAAGGTTGGTCAAAAGTATCAAAGCTGCAGAACTCAAGTAGGCCATTGAATTTAGCAGCCAAAAATCATTAAAGACTTTAGAGAGAGCACTTTGAGTCAAGTGGTGGAATGGGATGTCAGATAGGGATATAAGGGACAGAGAATTGAGTGAGTGGTAAAGAAGTGAAGGCAGTAAGAATAGAAAATTCTTTCTAGGAGTTAGGCAGTGAAACAGAGTAGAATTAGAACAGTTTCAGAGCCAGGATTTTAAGTATAGAGCAGAGGAGTTGAGGGAACGCATGATATCAATGGCTCAGATTTTCTTAATAAAGAAAGCAATGACATCTATTAACAGAGAAGGAATGAAAGGAATCATTGAGGACTCAAGAGAAAGTTTGGAAAAGCCATTGGAGGCAATGGATTGGACATTCAATCAAGGAAGAAAAAGCTTTATCATGTTGCAACCAGGGAGAGTTAAGATTAGATAACATGAATTTATAAAGGACACAATGATATGATTTCTTGCATTGGCATTCAGAAAGTGGGGTAAGCCCATGGTTGAAGACTGGCAGGGTGTGAACAGTGGTAGGACAAGAAAGGGGATCAAGAGTGGAGGACAATGTATAATTGAATTATTAAATATTGGATCAAGACTGTTAAGGGAGAAAAGTGAAGGCTAATGAACTAGGTAAACAGAGAGTGATAGAGGGACTGGAAGCTGTGGTGAGGATGAAGGATACTTATAGGAGGAGTGAAGCATAGGGAGAGATGGAAAGGCAAGAGGCTTTAAACAGAGAAGGGAATTTCAGATCAGAATCATGGAGATAGCTCAGTTATAGTTGCTGGTGAGTTGAGGTCTAAGGTATGATCATCCTTGTAAGTGACAGAGCTAAAATGAAGCTGTTGATCAGGGGTTCAGATGCTCTCAGAGCTCATCTCCTTCTTGACTAATACAGCTATTTATGTTCCAGGAAGCAGACTTTAGTTTTTGTAGGAATAGTCAATTCAACACATCATATTAGAGGAGACATAGGATTAGATGTAGAAGTAGCTTCTTCCTTTCCTCACAGTCACTATTTTGTTTATATTATCTTCTTCCTTTGAATAATATTCAAGATAAGTGTGAAGTCTGAACTTGTCCCAAAGAGGTACAGAGGCAGTTAACACCTGACATGGCTAGATATAAGGGAGAAGGAAGTTGCTGGGGATCATGTGCAGAGAAAAGGTAGAGAGAAGGGCCAGCCCTGGGATGTGTTGGCATTTCACAAAAAGGAACCACACAAGAGGGGTGTTAGTTGGTGCCAAGAGGGGTATGGTATAGTTAAGATGGTGATTGTGGGATAGCAAAGGGCCTGATACTTACACTTTGCATCCTGGAGTCAGTGTCCACGATGTTTCTCTCCACCTGATCGGCATTTTTTTGAAGCTGCTCAATCAACTCTGATAGCTCTTTACTGGAGATACTGTGAAGATAGGAGCTGATGTTAAGAACTAGGTTTCAAGGATCATCATCAGAAATTTGCTCTTATCCTTCCCTAATGCCCAAGACATGGCTCCTCAATTGGTCCCTCAATCCTTCCTGATTTCCCCTCTGAGTAAACCTCTGAGCTTATTCCTGGTTTCTTGATACCCAGATTAAGAGCGACAGACTACTAAAGCCACAGATCTGGGTGGAATCTCTCTCTGGTCTTGATAATCTCCAGAGTAGATCTAAGACAGGGTTCTGGTAAGAGGATCAGTCGTCCTGTTTCCCTGGAGTTGATCACCAGTGTAGAACTTGAGTATCTGAGCCCTGAGGGTTGCTGCTGACCAGGCCACATGTTACATGAGGGTACTGATCTGGAGTATGTTCTTGTTTAATTAGTCCTTGTACTAATTCATTCATCTACCCATCCCACCAATATTTATTGAACATCTATTAGTTATTCAACAACACAATGTGAAGTTCTGTGAGACTATAAATATAATAATGATGATGAAGATAATGATCACACAGTCAGGAAAAAAATGGTTTGAATACCATCTCAGACACTAGTTTGATTTACTGGGCAAGTCTCTTAATCTCTCCGAGCTTCAGTTTAATGTGTAAAAAGGATTAACTCCATTTCACAGGGCTGTGGTAAGGATCAAATGAGACATATAAACTGCTTTGCAAACCTTAAAGTACCATAACGTAAATGTTTTTTATTATTATTATTATTACATAGCACCTTTTCATTAAAAAGTGCTGTCTTCACAGCCACCTTGAAAAATGTGCAGTATAAAGACCACTATTCTCATTTTATGGATGAAGAAACTGAGGTTTAGAGGGATTTTATTTGTCCAAGATCTTATAGCTGGAAAATGATAATGCTGTGATTTGAACCCAAATTTCCTAACCACAACTCTATGACTTCACAGCATATAAAGCGAAATCTAGAATATGTTTCGAATGAATGGTTGGTGAACATCTAGAAAATAAAATAGTGATCCAGAAAGCTAGCATGACTTCATCAAGATCATATAATTAGAAGAAAAGCAAGAAATGGGGAAAAATCTTTGCAGTAAGTATCTCTGTTTAAGGACTCACTTCTAAAACATATGGGGAACCAAGTCAAATTTACAAGAGTGAGAGTCATTCCTTAATTGATAAAATGGTCAAATAATATGACTAGGCAGCTTTCAGAGGAAAAAATCAAAGCCATCAAGAGCCACATGAAAAAATACTTTAAATCACTAGTAATTAGAGAAATGCAATTAAAACAACTCTGAAGGACCACCTTATACCCATCAGATGACAAAAAAGAAAAATGACAAATATTGGAGGGGATCTGGGAAAACGGACACACTAATGCACTGTTGGTGGAACTGTGAACTAGTCCATTTTGGAAAGCAATTTGGAACTATGTCCAAAAGGCTATTAAATTGTAGGTACCCTTTGACCCAGTGATACTGGGCTATATGCCAAGGAGATCAAAGAAAGAGGAAAAGGACCCATATGTATAAAAATATTTATGGCAGCTCTTTTTTGTAGTGGCAAAGAATTGTAAACTGGGGGGATGCCTATCAATTGGGGAATGGCTGAATGTGATGGAATGTTATTGTGCTGTTGGTTTCAGAAAAACCTGGGAAGATCTTTATGAACTGATATAAAGTGAAAGGAGCAGAACTAGAACGATCTATACCGTAACAGCAGTATTGTAAAGATAATCAACTTTGAAAGACTTAGTAACTCTGATCAACACAATCACCACAATTCCAGAGGATTTATGATGAAATAATGTGCTATACATCTCCAGATAAGAGATCTGCTGGACTCAGAGCACAAATTGAAGCACCTTCTTTCCTTCTATCCTTTGTTTATACTTCTATGCTTCCTCTTTCCCTTCCTCCTTCCTTCCATTCCTCCCTCCCTTTTTTTTCTCTCTCTTTCTTTCTTTCCTTCCTTCATTCAGAACAGGCTTACAAAGAAATTTGTTTTTCATGACTATACATATTTGTAATGGGTTTTATTTGTTTGGGTTGGGGAGGGAGAAGGAAGAGAGAATATGGAACTGAAAAAAAAGAATAAAAAATCTGTGCTTTGAAAATAAAAGAAAATTAAAAGAAAAAGAAAAGAACTGATCATGCCAGACTCATTTTGAGAGAGTTACAAGACTGATGAGGCATCCTTATATAGTGTAGTCGTGTCAAACTGGAGGCCCATGTTGACTTAGAAAACCACAAATGGACATTATCTATGTTTTATTTTATTTTTAATTATTTTATTAAACATTTCCCAATGACTTTTTAATCTGGTTCCAGCTATCCTCGGGAATTTTGTAGCCCATCAAGTTTGATACCTCTGAAGTTGTGAATAGAAAGCTAGCCTTGGAGTCAGTCAGGAAGACCAGGGTTCAAATACCCTTTCTGATATATGTTGACTATGAGACCTAATACAGGTCACTTATTCTAAGCATATGTCTAAGACTTTAAGTTACAGAGAATGCACATACCTGCATTGGTAGAGGATTCCTCATCTGGGAGTTTCCTTTGCCAATGAAATCAAAGGTCCACTCTCTACCTCTATATCTGCTAGACTAGTAGATCATTGGAATGCTGAGGATATAGTTTACCTAGATTTCAGCAAGTATTTGACAATGCTTTTCAAGGTCTCCTTGTATATAAGATGAAGAAATGTGGGGTAGATGATAGTAAAATCGGGTAGATTTAGAACAGGTTAATGGCTCAGTGTCAACTTGGAGAATGTTCTCTAGTGGAATGCCTCTGGGAATTCTCCTTAATCCTGTGTTGTTTAATGTTTTTATTATCATATTTGCAGATGTCACAAATCCAGGAGGGGGAGCCAACACTTTGAATAATAAAGTTAGGAACAAAAAAGATCTCAGCAGGTCAGAACAATGGGACCTATCTAACAAAATTATATCCAGTGGGGGTAAATGTAAAGTCTTACATACAAATTCAAAAAGTCAACTTTACAAGTATGAAATGGCTGAAGGTACAGTTACATTATAGTTCCTATGGAAAAAATCTGGGGATTTTAGTGGACTGCAAGCTCACTGTGAATCAGTAATGCAAAATGGCAGCCAAAAAAAAATCTAATGTGATCTTAGGCAGATTAAGAGAGGCACAATATCCAGAATAAATGTGAAGTATTGTGTTTAATTCTGGGCACTACATGTTAAGGATGTTAATAGACTGGAGGGCATCCATCAGAGGGGCAAGTAGGATGGTGAAGGTGCTTCAGCGTGATTAAATAACTGAAGATGCTTAGTTTGGAGAAGGAAAGTTTTAGGGGAGGAGCCAGTAGTTACCATCTTCAAGAACTTGAAGGGCTGTCATGAGGAAGAGGTTTTATATTGGTTCTGCATGGCCCAAGAAGACAGAACCAGGAACAATGGACAGAAGTTGCAGCAAGGTAGAATATAACTAGACGAAAAATTCCCTAATGCTTAGAGATATTGAACAATGAAGTAAACCATCTCTAGAGGTAATCCTCCTCCATAGAGGTCTTCAGGTGGGAATGTTACAGAGGGGTTTAGGTTTGTTTTGAATTAGATGGCCTGTGAACTTTCTTCCAACTTGGAAATTTGGCCATTCTGCAAGTCTCTGATATCAAGAAACTCAATCTACTTGGGGAGATAAGACATATACAGAAAAATTAACCAGACAAGAAGATAGCAGCACAAGACAGTAACATAAAAGGTATCATAGGTTAGTAAGTACTAAATGAGTTGGGTAGAGAATAAGTCCTATGAATTCAGAGAAGGGAGAGATAACTACAGTTTGAAATTTTCAAGGACAGCTTCACGGAAGAGGCACATCTTGAAGGATTATCTAGAATGTGGATAGGCAAGAATTAGATCTATTCTGCAATTAAGTCATGGAGATTATAGAAAGGCTAAGGTGAAGTTACATTGAAAATTTCAATACTAGACAGACCCTGGACAATATATAAAGTTTTGTATATACAATTTTCAGCCAGCACCTAAATGTGCTTGCTCCATTGTAAAATTTTTCCTTGAGTATTTTAAGGCTGACCAACCTTGAGTCCATTTGCCCTGACCAGCCTCTCTTTGTTGGGCCTGCAAATAATTCTAATCCCAAATCATCCATTCTTTGCCTAGTTTGTCCATAGTGTCTATGATCCACCTCCTTCCAACCCTAGTATCATGAGAAACCATGTCCTTATTCAAATAATTCAAGTAATTAACCAGTGACTGTTCTTTTCTTTGAAGGACCCAAAGTATTAGGAGGGGGACTTTGCCCTTCCTCTCATTCACTCACCCAGCCCTAAGCCTAAATGTCACAGACACACCAGGCTGGTTCCCAAACCAGTTCCCCAGTCTTTGCCTCCCCATTGGCTTCATCAGGTGTAGGAAGGGATAGGACTTTTGGACCCCACCCTCAGGCTATTTTTCAAACAAAGAAAAGCCTTTGTCACCCAAGATTTAAGTAATCTTGCTGAGAGAATGGTCAGTTCTGTGAGCTTTGTGGGCTTGCATTCAGGAGAAGGGATGAAAATTAAGAGCCCAGCAGGATTCCAAAACCAGTGGCTGTATCCTGTCTTTGGACGCCCTCTTAGCCCCAGACACCACCCAACACTGCTTGAAACCAGGAACATTTAGCTTCCAAGATGCCTACCCTGGTCACAGCTTTCATATGGCCCTGGAGCTCAGAAATGGAGAGGTATCTTGTAAAGCAAAATGTTGCTAAATCCTTCTTCCTTTCCTGTGGGTGAGGGTGACCTAGAATCATATAATCTATAGAATGTTAGAGCTTGAAGGGACCTTTAAGAGATGACATAGTCCAGGGGTGGGGAACCTGTGGCCTTGAGGCCACATGCGGCCTTATGGGGCCACACATATACATGTGAGTGTGTTTATGCATTTTGTATGTGATTTTGTGAGTGGTCTGAATTCTGGTGCCAGGAGATGCCTGGAATGTGGGAGGGACCTGGAATTTGGAGTGAGTGAGGTAGAAC